CATCCTTGTTATGTCTTAACAAGTCGTTTTGGACAGCCTGTGAGGGTTTTGTTTGTTTGTTTTTTTTATGTGTAATCTTTCGTCAAATTTATATTTTGAACCTCTCATGATTTTTCGACAGATACTGAAATAAGATATGGACTAATTTAGATAGTATTTTCTTCTTTTGAGAAATCCATACCTTTGTCCATGGTTTGTATAATTAACAAAACAACATAACATGGGAATGCTTGCATTTTAACATGAAAAAAGTAAAGAAGACGAACAGGGATCGATCTCAAAAAATCCACAAAATATAGTCACACCCGCCGTGAGCCCTGTGTATTGATCAGGGAGACGGAACTGTCCGTAGTCAATTCAGTACAAAACCAAAGGCCTAAAAATTGGTATGAATCAAGTCAGCCAAAATACGACGCAATGATAGGTTATATTTGCCAACAAGGTCATTATAACGACCATAAAATTTACGAAATGTTGACTTTAAACTATTGAAATCCTTGTAACATCAACTTATCAGTGAGTAGCCTGCCTCGCTTTAAAAATTGATCGTACTCAGAGCAAGGTCTTGAGTATCGAATAAGTTGGGAGACATAAACACCATAAGCAGGTGATAGTGGAATATTACTACATAAAGAAAGTCGACGATGAAAAAGCTCAAATCATCTCGTTTGTCATACAATTTAGTTGTTAATTGGCCTTTATCGTCTATAGTCAGTAAAATATCTAAATATGAAACAGACGTTGCAGACTCTGTGGTGTCTTTTATTTCAAGTTCACTGGGATATATCAAGTCGACATACGAATGAAAATAACTATTGTTAATTGATAATACATCGTCAACATATCTGAATGTCGAATTGAAGGCTACAGCTTTTTGTTTTCTGAATAAATTCTGCTTTGGGGTATGACTGTTGTCTTGAAAGTTACATTTAATTTTTTCCCCTACATATGTAATGCAATGCATGTCAATCCAAAAAAAAAATTAGCATAGTTAAATATAGTTTACTATTATAGTTAACTATAGTAAAAAGTTTGATACTTTGATTTAATTACTAAATTGTCGACTGATTTTTTTTTTTTTGTTTTTACCGATCATGACAAGGAGCACACGGCGGGTGTGACCGGTCGGCATGGGATACTCACTCTTCCATGGCACCTGATACCAACTCTGTTTTTGGAGGTCAGTGTTTGCTCTGCTCCCGATTTGTATTGTTTGAATGGACCTTGAGCTTGGAGACTGTTCGCTATCTCCACATTTCATTTAGAACTCTTTTGAAGATGAAGAGTCTTGATATATGTTTATTAACATACCAGTGATGCAAATGTTTTAAATAATTTGTAAATAGATGTTCACAAGTCAAGTTTCCTTTTAATATAAGAAAATTTATTATGGGACTTTAGAAGAAAAAAATAAAACGATCTGAAGTTCATATTAAAATTACATTAATTAACTATAGATTTACTTAAGCGAAAACTTTGATACTATGGTAAACTATACTAAACTATAATTAACTATAGTCTTTTTTTTTGTTAGGGATGACTTGAAATTCAAGTCTACAGTAGTTGTAGATGTAGAGTTGTAGTTCAGCTTAACTTGAAAAGATCTTTAAATATTATATTAACAAAAGTGCATCTACACAATAAAGATGTATTATTTAAATAAATTATTTTTTAAAATTTTCTCTTCCTTTACATTTCCACAGTAATCTCTATTGTGGCCTTAAATAAGGCACAGGAAGCCAGCGTACGAACAGATATGTTTGAAAGGAGGAAGTTATAAGAACATGTATTTTAATAGAGAATATTTAGAAAAAAGATACTTAAAAGTGAGCGGTTTTCAGAAATAATCTACGACCGAATTCCAATCAAATATGGAAATAACGAACAGTAAACAAGCTGAAAAGCCCACAGATCAGGAGCAGAGCAAAAAGGACCTCTAAAAACATTAAAGGTGGGAACGGGTGCCAGGAAGGAGAAAGTATTCCCTGCCGATCGGTCACATCCGCCTTGGGCTCATTGATATAATCCGGAAAACGGAAAAATCCGTAGACATGCAATTCAATGTGTAAATAATGGCCTAACAATTAGTATGAATAACGTCAGTCAGCATTCAACTTAATAATAAATTGTATTTGCTGACAAGGTCATTGTATCGACCATAGAACTTGCCAAATGATGACTTTAAGCGAGACTGTTGATATTCTTGTTTCATCAACATCAACTTGTTTGTCAATAGCTTGCCTCATTTTAGAAATTGTTTGTACGTAGAGCATGTTCTTGCATATCGAATCAATTGGGAGACATAAACCCTAAATGCACGTGATGATGGTATATTGCAACCTAAGTGAGGGAAGTTGACAATAGAAAAATTGTAAGGTTACCATTAACGTCTTTTTCTAGTAAAATCCAAGTATGAAACAGATGTGTCAGACTCTGTAGTATCTTTGATTTCAAGTTCACTGGGATATATCGAGTCGTCATAAAAATGGAAGTAACTATCGTTAATTGATAATACGTCGTCGATATATCTAAATGTCGAGATGAAGGCCACAGTGTTTTCTTCTTCTCATGTACAAGTTTTTGAATAAATTCTGCTTCATTTGAATACAAAAATGGGTCTGCTAACGGTTCGGTACCCATGGAAATTCCGACAGATTGTTGGAAGACCTTATCTCCAAAAACTACAAAGATATTGTCAATCAGAAACTCAAGCATCTTTTTAATATCAACTTCAGAGTACCTGTGTGTACAATCAGAATGTTTCTAACAAAATATTTTTTGTAAATGGCCAATGACAAGATAAATAATTTTCCATTTTTATTGAAAAAGCAGCTGTCAAAAAAACCCCTGGATTTTATTTTATAATTGAGAATGGTTTTATAAAGAGTTGAAAAGTCGTACGTTTTGATATTACAGATTTTTGGTAAAATTTTGTGATTTCAAATTTTCTAAAAATTCCTTGAAGTTTTTAAGTATCCACATCTGATTTACACTACTTCTCGAAGAATAAAGTTACATGTATACAGTACTTCTTACATTTCTCCTTCATTGCTGTTAATATTTTAGTGAGGAGTAAAGATAGAGGCTTGGAAGAACATTTAGTGGAACCCGCCATGTATCTTTGTTTGTAAGAATTTTTATGAAGTTTAGGAATCCATTAAAGATATGGTAATTCAAATTCATTTTCAATGTTTGGAATATTAAAAATATTTAAAACTGACATATGATTCCTTAAAAAGGTAGCTATATATATAAGTTGGATTACCACTAGCAGAATTAAATTCCAATTCCTCTAAAATACAATTAAAATGACGAACCTTACAAAAATGACAATGTGGTTAACTGCTTTGTCACTTGGAAACAGTAAAACTGATCGTGTAATCTATCTAATTCTTTTTTCACTTCTGAATTATTGAAAACAGAAGGATAGTGGGTTTTCATATCCTCAATCGCTTAATGTGGGATTTTAACATTCTTTTAATCCATTCTGACAAAGTATCAAGATCTTTATCATATTTGGCCCATCGCCTGGCGTAATCTTCAACAGAATTCATAATATCTTTTAAATCATGACGCCAGTAAAAAGACGGGGTTCCCTAAATTTTGGTCTTTTTAAAATAAAAGAATTAATTTCCTCATTATTTACTATATTTGTGTCACAAGTAATGACGTGTCCAGCAGGACTATACTCAAATTTCTGACCCGTCATGTTATTTTCACTATATTTTTTATTCAAATTACTTTTTAAAATCTGCTATGCTTCCTTTTTTTGACAAAAATGACCATCTTAAATTAACGACAATCAACCCAAGTTATATTGACAATAATCATGTTGTTCGTGGAAAACCTAAAAGTTCAGCTTGAAAAGTTAATGACAACATACCAATGTAGACGACACCGTGGAATGGTTCAGCTCACTTGTCGATAGGTTGGGAGATAACATATGAAGCCAGATGAGTAAAAGTTGCACAATGCATCTCGTGTGTAAAAGATATACACCAGCATCATGTTTCCCAGTTTTGATAAAATAAGGGAAACATTTAATTTTATAAAATTGTCCCTTGTTTGGATATATTTATATTAAATATACTAATACTGAGAATACTTGGAAAAAGAGAGTTTATCTTTAAAAGGCGTGCAATCCAATAGGATTACTTCACAGCGGGTGTGACAGGACGACTGGGGATGCTTACTCCTCCTAGGCATCCGATCTCACTTCTGGTTTTTCTAGGATTCCTTGCTTTTGTTTTTGGTTTTTGGGGGATGGAGGGGAGGGGAAGAGGGGTAATTTTCAACTCACCTTCGTTACAATGATATGTATAACCCTTTTGCTTTAAGTATATTGTTCAACTTGTTTGGATGTCTTTTCCCTCAAACATTTTTTTTCAAGACCCAAGTAATATTTGGAATATTTTCCATACACTAGCATGTCGATAACTCCATGAAAAAAAAACATTATCCGTTTCTCACTGATTAATCCAAAGTTATAAACATTGCCCTCCTACATGTACAAATTAAAAAAAAAAACGCTAATCATGTTATCGTTAAAGTACAAAGCCCTATAAACAGAAGAATTTTTTGATCCCTACTAGATGAATTATTGTGGACAATGTTAACATGTCATTACATAGTTCACCTTAACGATATTTTTAAGTACGGCAAAGACAAACACTTATTATTATTAATTAATTAATAATGTAGTGGTATATATCCCTAGATGCAAAATTTAGGCAAGTTTGGTCCAGATCGGGCTTGCAGTTACTTTGAAATGGACCTGCTCGAAAAACTTAAACTTTGTCACTTCATCAGAAAATGCAGGTCAAATCTAACATCCAAAGGATGTGTGTTAGAGTACAATCCTTGATGCACCATCCATATATGTTTAGTTCAGGTAGGCATTATAATTACTTAGGCACTTAAGAATGGACCTGCTAAAAAAAATTTAAACTGGTCACTCATCCGGAAATTGTAGGTCAAATCCAAAACGATATAGGGCGGCGGGAAATTCAAACACTGAGTATATTTTTGTAGCTTTTAAACATGTAAAATGTAAAATGATGAATGTTTTAGGTAAAGTGTGAATTAATGGTGTGTAAATCACACAGACTTGCACGTTGACACATTTTTTCATGATTTCCTGATATCACAAAGACTGATGTCGAACAAGGCAACTGGATTCGCATTACTACAGGTTCGTTTTGTGAGTCGATCATAAAATTTAAAATGCTTTTTAAAAAATTCCGTTCTTAAGATCAGCGTATAAATTTAGTCTAGATACTTAATAACTTTGATGTTCTGCTCATCACATTCTCCGACCCAGAGGTTTTCGTCGCTATCAATACTGAGAACGAATGGGTCTTTCAAACTGCAGTTGATGTAGCGTAAAAACTTCCCGTTCCGGTCAATCACGTGGACACAATCATTGTTGCGATCAACAACGAGAATACGAAAGTAGTTGTCAGTATCTATTCCATGTGGATAAAATTCTTTGTAGCTGCGAGAGAGACTTCCGGTGTAACGAAATCGAAATTCTCCGGATTTCTTGGTCACGATGACAGCAGAGGCATTCCAGTCGGACACACAAATGTCTCCGTTTCCATTCTCGGTGATATACATGTTGTTTCTACCTGTTGAAAATAGTGGCTTGTTGGTGTCATCATATTGAATCTCTTGCTTCAACATTTCTCCCAAATATATGCCAACTTTGCTCTCTGAGTAGTCATTTCGTCGCATGCAGACCATCAGATCATCGTCTGAATTGAAGCAAAGGCCATACGGAATCCAGCCAGACAAGTCAACCATTTTCTGTATACGCCTTTCTCTGAGTATTTTCACACATTCATCTGTTATGTGAGAAAAAGCAACATCGCCATCCTTATTTACAGCGATATCTTTCTGACTATTCCCCGAAATCGCCGTTATGCAATTTAGCATGTTGCCAAGTTTGTCGAACTGCTTCAGTTTTTCATCATCTCCATAAATCCAAACCTTGTCTGTGGACTCGCAGCAAATTCCTTTTAATTTTACGCTGTTGGCTCTTATGGTGAATAAAATTTGCTGCTTTTCAAGTAACACTCGAGCAGATACAGAGAAATCCCGGCCAGTTTTGGTGATAGCGAATCCACGGAGAGTGTTTCGGGTCGAAGGTGTGAGAGTCACAAGCTGTTGCATGATTTCCTCTTCTTTAACATCTAGAGGAACGATTTTTGCTGGGGTGATTTCTGTTCTGTTGGGAACAAGTCGCAATTCATCAACCCTAGACTCATATTTAAGAATGTTCAAAACATCGTCATCTTTTAATAAATTCTCGTTTCTCTTTATTAATTCGTCCACATTCTGTAAGGAAATCCGAATTTCATCAACATTATCCTGTACGAGGTTCTTGTCTTCCTTTGTTCTGTTCATTATGTCCTCTTCCATTCTGTCTATAGCGTTATCCAGAATTTCATGCCATTTTCCCCCCAATATTTTTAAAGAATTTCTTTCTTTTTCACTTTCTTCTGCATATGTGGACAATCCGTCTTCCATGTCCCTTAGGACCTTTTCGTATTCTTCTTTGAAGTGTCTTAATTCCAGTAAGTCTTCGCTGACAGCACTCCGAGTTGTTTCATAAATTTCGGATAATTCTTCTGCGCTATGTCGCTTGTGATTTTTCAGCAGACAACGCGAACATATAGGAATGTGGCAGTCTTGACAGTAGAGGTCACAGATTTGATTGGGATGATCCTTGCAATTATTTATAACTTGTTCTGAAGACGCTTTTTGCGTATACGGTAGAAGATCATGATTTTTTAGAGTTGGGCTTTTTTGTATATGGTGGCTTATGCACTGCTCACAGAGATTTACATCACAACTTTTGCAGTGCATTGCCACAGCATTTGTACATAGAGAGCAGCGGATGACATCCTGTGCCATATTCGGTATGTTATCACTGCTTATCATCTTCACGGTATCTAAAATAAGAAGGACTGCTAAATATTATCAGTATTACCAACCTGCTATCTAAACTAAGAAGGATCATTAGCAGTAATAAACTACCTTGTATCTAAAATAAAAAGGAATATTTAGTACAGAGTGTTTCAGGAAACATGCATGTCCCGACCTTGCACTTTCAAATAAAAAGTTATGCAGTTTCTATGAAAGGAAATTTTGAAAAATGTAAAGAATACATGTGTTTTACCATAGAATTTTATCAATATGAAAATTTCAATGAAATATTTTTAACTATTATGATAAATTTAAAGATCGATTTTAACTCTAAGACTTAACATGGTTTTGTACATATTTACCGATATCTATGCAGTTAAAGTTTTGATATAACACAATGTAATGTTGAAAAACGTATTCCACTGCAAATGATAATGTCGCTTCATTCATGTACAAAATTCAAGATGGAATTTTCAGCCGTATAAGCGTTCCGAATAGATTGCAATGAATGTTAAAACAGTTTTTTTTCCTGTATAAAAAGAACCACTTCTCGCAAAGAAATGCATGGATCTTCTTTTATACGAAATCATAGCATGTCGCTGAAAATCAATTAACTTCCATAACGATTTTGTTTTAAATTTCACGCACAGAATGCAGATTTAAAAAAAGAACTGAAAATTATCTGAAAGTGACCATTCTAGTTGCGAGTCAGCTATTTTTTTACCATTACATTTTCGACATAACAAAATGAATTAGACAAAAACAGTTGTCTCTCTTCAAAATTTAACTTCCGTAACGCGGTAATTCTGTAAAGTTTTTGCATTAAAGGTATAAAAAAAATTATTATTTTGAGAGCGAAATGCTTCATAATTTTGTTTAACATCCTAAAACAAACGTTAATTTTAACTGTTGTCGAGAATTTTAACTTTTATTGCTGGAAATTAACTTCCGTACAAACGATTAACTTCCATAACAATATTTTCCCCGAAATTTTAACTTAATATCGGATTCATGCGAGACTTCATATGATACATACTTTAGCGTTCTATACTGAACATCAGGAAACGAAAAAAGTGGTCAAATTCAGCTTTATTTAAAAAATATTAAGATTGGATCAAGCATTAACTTCCGTAACATTACCTTAAAATCAATGGTATATTGAAATCGTTGTGGACAATTCTTTGGTTTTAAGTTCACTGGTATGTCCTATGATGTTCATTTTGCCATTTGAAATAATTATTTTTTTCATGTTTTATACCTTGAATTGGTCCTTTTATCGTAGAACGACAGACCCCCTCTTTACAAAAAAATATTCTATACTCACCGAGATTTGGCCAACTCGATCTGATATCACATCGAGAATAATAACGTTTGCAAGTGTTGTGTGCAATGCGGATGTGTAAATGATGCGCTTTTCTTTGCTCTCGATTTAGCATAATCTAAAACGTAGATAAGTTAAATTCTCTCCTCTGTTTCCAAAAAAAAAAAAAAAAAAAAAAAAAAAAAAAAAAAAAAAGAGTTATTTTTTGCCTCAGATACATTACAGTCCTAATACCGTCTTGTTTTATCTCAGAACTCTATATATTTTTTTCTATCTGAAATACATCAGTCATAAACCCATGTTTCTCTGGTATTCGGCGACCGATTCAGAATCCAACATATCCGAGCGGCCATACTCTAGATCTCGGTATAGAACTAAGGGAGGGCACTTCCTTTTTATACAATGAATGCACCGTAATGACCCATGTCTCTTTGACAACAAAACTTATCCCTCTGGGGATCACTTCATGTACATGTACCAAACTCTCTGCCGAACGGAAGGTAGTGACATACTAAGGCTTCGCCAAATAAACGTCAGTGAATTCAACGTTGAGATGTGCTTCATTTGAATACTTGGATATTATGAGCTAGTTGACACCTTTTATGTAAATACTTCGTAACATTCTGGAGGCATCAGAACCATTACAAACGAAGGAAATGACGTTGCACCCGGAGAGATTCGTGCGCAAATCAAACTTTTGGTTCATAAACAAAAGTACCACGGAAAATGTTAGGATGCGGCTAAATTATTCATCAAATATTATTATTCTAACAAAATACGTGGAAGAAACAAGTCAAAATCCAACGCAGGTTTACCAACTTACAAATTCATGGGGAAAAGATACAATCCTACTTGAACACAGTCTCAAGAAACGCTTGTCGATAATTTTTGATTTTTATATTAAAATCCGGACAGAGACAGTTTATGTCGAAACATCTGTTCAAAGTAAGAGGATCCTTTCTATGCTGATGTTCAGTTCGATGATGAACAGTTATGCAAATTTAACTTAGCGATGCAAGATGAAGTACGCAACATCATCAAAATAGCTTCAGCCAAATCATGTAAACTTGACCAAATCCCAACAAGAATCTTAAAAATCTTAGAATCAGGTTTGGGTCTGCTTAAAGAAATACTGAATAAATTATTTACTGAATGTAATTTTCCATCTTTCCTTAGGCAAGCCATTGTGCGACCTATCATAACCGGGTCAACCTCATTCTGGACTCCAGCCTAATTGTTTTATTTCCCTATACCTCAACCATTGAAGTTTGAGGAGGCAGAGTCCCGAATGACATTGGGCCGATCATGCATTTTGTTCATATAACCCGGGATCTCTGGCTATGCCAGTGAGAGGACACACCAAGTGGAATAACTCTTATAATCCTTGAGCTTGGTTGGAATGACCCAAGTCAACTTTTTTATTTTTACGAAATGACTCTGGAATATTACAATTCCAAATTCCTTCAAGATCTGAGGACCTTTCCTCACCAGAGCGGCTCACAGGTGTTAGGGAGTGGCTCTGTTGCCGAACCTGTATTAAATGTAAGAAGAGACAGACAAAATCCAGTTTCTGACTTTTATTAAATTAAACAATCCATTTTCTTTCTATAAATGATTCCAACCAATAATTTTACACAAGATACTAAACATTATAATAAACATTACTACTTATAATATAAAATATTTTAACCTGTAAATAAAATTAGCCATCTGAAAATTTTAATAATTTTTATAAAAACGCGCAAGTCTACAAAATGATCTCACCTGTATAAAATGTAAGCAGAGACGGACACAATCCAGTTTCTGACTGAACTATGTCCGCCCGGCCGCTCATTTTATACCAGGTGTACCCTTGTAGTTTTACATCTCCTATATTTGAAACTCATTTGAAATTTGCAATAATTACTTTAAATTCTAATTTGAATTTTGATTACCATTATTCTGTCCTCCAACACTCTTTAATTTCCTAATGCACTTTAAAAATCATTTTCTATCTTTTGCATAATCTTTAAATTTTAATTGGTGTAGCTAATTTATACCAACAACTGACCTCTGGTCACTTTAAAACTTGTTTTTGATAAACAAGTAAATAACCGCATTCCAATGAATCATTTTCTTGGAACCGTACAGGTTAAAAGGTCAAACCCTAGTGGCCAGCATCTATATGTTTAATTTTATCTTCTGAGCTCGCATCTCAGCACAATACACAAAATTATTTTACTTTTTCATTTTTATGCAATTTTTGTTACGATAAATTCTCCCTACTATTAAAAAAAGTCTTGTCCACAAGATTTGTTGGTTTTTTTTTTTTTTTAAATAAGATATTGATTAATTTGTCTCGCTGAGAAGTTTAAATAAAGCCGAATATTGAAAATGATCATCATCTAAAATGTTTTCATTAAATTTACATGAAAGTGGGTGTTTATTTAACAAGATGCCCAAGGGGGTCACCTGAGTACATTACAACAATTTAGAGGATCCATAAACTGATAAATGAAGCTTTGTTGCCCAAAAGCAAGAAAAATAGTATGATTAGCATCAACAAAATAATTGGTCTAGTATCTATCTGTCCCCCATTTATCACTATTACCATGCAGACTATTAACAATATGTCTATTTTTTAACCCCATATTATTACTTCTCACGGTGGCCTCTCTTGGCCTTTGAAGAACATTTAAAATGATAAGTTATTTTTGTCTCATTTTTATTCATTTATTATTTCCAAGTCTACCTGATCATTAGAACTTTGAAAGTACTTTTTGTATTATACAATAAATATTCTTGCATAATTCTCTTATTCTATTAACCTTTCAAGTACATTATTTACAGTGATTAATTATCAAAGGTGAATGGCAAAGGGGAATAACTATATTCAGCAGAATACAAGTTAATAGAGCCCTGACCAGGACCAGAACACTTGACTAAATGGTCCAGGTGTTCAAAATTCTGGTAAAAATACCCTTGTACATATTGCATATTAAAACTTTTACTCTCTTTGCCTCGAATATGCCCAGAAGCATAGAAGATTTTCAAAGAAATGCATTTTCACTTTATTTTTAAATAAATAAAGCCCCGTCCTTACACCAGAACATCTGACCCATTGGCCATGAACTCACAATTCTGGAAGAAGCACCCTTGCACATCATAACTTTACACTTGTTTCTTTGCTTTATAACCAGTAGTACAAAAAATATTTTGAAAGAAATTATGCATTTTCACTATATAATCAATGGAGCCCCCCCCCCCTTCACCAGATCCCCTGACCCAGGGGCCTAGACTTCACAATTTTGGAAGAGGCATTCTTCTGTATCATAACCATGCGCTTCCTTTGTTTGAAAAATACCCAAGTGCAGAGAAGAAGATTTTGAAGGATTTTATGCATTTTCCCTATATAATCAATTATATAGCTCCGCCCAAACACCAGAACTCCTGACCCAAGGGCCATGAAATTCATAATTTCCGAGGAGGCAGTCATGCTCATCATAACTTTGTACTTAGTTTATTTAATATCCAGGAGCAGAGAAGAAGATTTTCAAAGAATTAATGCATTTTCACTATATATATCAATAGAGCCCCGCCCCAACACCAGAATCTCTGACCAAAGGGCCATGAAATTCACAATTTTGGAAGAGGCAACCATGCACTAAGTTGGTTTATTTAATATCCAGGAGCAGAGAAGAAGATTTTCAAAGAATTAATGCAATTTTACTATATAATCAATAGAGCCCCTAACACCAGAACCCCTGACCCAGGGGCCATGAAATTCACAGTATCTGAAAAGGCAGCCATGCTCACCATAAATAAGTTCTTATTTAATTTATTTTATACCCAGGAGCAGAGAAGAAGATTTTCATAGAAATAATGCACTTTCACTATATGATCTATATAGCCCCACCCTAGCACCAGAACCCCTGACCCTGGGGCCATGAATTTCACAATTTTTGATAGAGGGCACAATGCTTATTACAATTATACCAACAGTTTGACTGCTTGATGTCTATGAGTAAAGAAGATTTTTTAAAGATTGCATTAATTTTGGTGGTTTTAGCCCCACCCCTCAGGCCCCAGGGGGGCAGGGACCATGAAATTCACAATTCCTGTTCCCCTTCATCCATAGATGCTATATGCCAAATTTGGTTGAAATTGGTTCAGTGGTTTCAGATAAGAAGCTAAAAATGTTCAAAAGTTAACATACGACGGACGACGCACATCGCCGTATGAAAACAGATAGCAATAGGTCACCTGAGTGACTCAGGTGACCTAACAAGAGGTCCAAGGGCCTTGACGGTCACCTGAGTATAATACAAGCTTTGTTGCCCAAAAGCAAGAGAAATAGGATGATCAGGATCAATGAATTAATTAGTCTAATATTTAGTAACAACCAATTTATCACTATCACCATGCAGACTGTTAACAAACTATTGGTGATTCTGTACTATTTTTAACCCAAAATATTAATCTCTCACATTCGCCTCTATTGGTCTTTGAAGAAGATATTAATAAGTTATTTTTGTCTCATTTTTATTATTCTATTATTTACAAGTCTATCTGATCATTAAAACTATGAAACTAGTTTTTGTATTATACAATAAAATTTTCTGCACAATTCTCTTATTCTAATACTTTTCTAATACATTATTTACAGTGATTAATTATCAAAAGTTAATTGCAAAGGGGAATAACTTCTCTCAGTAGAATGCAAATTAATAGAGCACTGGCCAGGACCAGAACACTTGACCAAATTGTCCAGATGTTTAAAAGTCTGGTAAAAATATCCTTGCTTATTAAAACTTTTACTTCGTTTACCTTTGATATGCCAAGGAGTAGAGAAGATTTTCAGTGAAATAATGCATTTTCACTACAAGTACCATGACTACAGTTTCAACACAGCCCTACCCTAACACCAAAACCCATGACCCAGGGTCATGAATTTCACAAATTTGGAAGAGGTACCCTCAGCATCGTAACTCTGCACTTAGACGAAGATTTTCAAAGAATTAACACATTTTCACTATATTATCAACAGACCCCCCCCCCTCCCCAATGAGAAACACAAAACCCCCTCACCCTGGGACCACAAAGTTTTAAAAATTTTGTAAGAAGCACTATGCACTTTGTTTATCTGCTCAACACTAAGGATTAGAGTGGATTATTTAACAGAATAAATGCATTTTCACTACATAATTAAAGAACCCCGCCCTAACACCAGAACCCCTGACCCAGGGGGCCATGAAATTCAAAACTTTGAAAGAGGCACTCTTGCTCATTAAAACTTTATACTTAGTTAGTTTATTTAATACCCAGGAGCAGAGGAGAAGATTTGCGATATGCAAAAATTGGTTGAAATTAGTTAAGCAGTTTCAGAGAAGAAGCTGAAAATGTTCAATTGTTAACGCACGACGAACGCAGACGGACAAAAACGGATAGCAATAGGTCACCCGAGTGACTCAGATGACTTAAAAATCTATCTTTACATAAAACTTTGTCCGGAAAAGGATCATATCCATTATTTTCGAAGATCCACATAATGAAATTCCTTCCCACAATAAATACAAAACCTCACACTTTTTATTTCGTTCTTACAATCAGCATGAACTTGAGTGAAACAACATGCAACCCTATAAATAATGTTGGATCGCGGACACATTATTGCACAATATACAGTAATTTCAACACCTGGCAAATTCGAAGGAGGATCCAAATCATAATATTAAGATGTACGGAGTTGTTCTCTCACACATTTTTGTAATTTCGACTTCGAATATGAGTCAGTGTTTCCGTTATAAATCAAATTAATCGCAATACTGTCCACGGCGCCATTCTATATACATCTGACGCTTTTAATAATATACGTTGCCGATATCTTTGAACATCCAAATAACTGAAAATACATGATCAAGAGGGGAGCAATTCCTCTAATCCCCTGGTCTTGACCAGATTGACCTAAGTTAGTTAGGTTATTAATGGTCCTTTATTTCTCTAATGACGCTCCAGTTTGAATCTACTCTTCCTAGGATATGTTCCCTTCCTGTCCATAGCGCATCACAGGTTATGGGGAGTGGTCTTAGCTGTTACCCAACCTGAATAAATGCAACCAGAGAGACAAAATCCAGCAGACACTTCTAATTATTTACAATTACTAAAGATACACAATACACAATATAACAAACATTATAATAAATAAGAAGCATTACTATTAGATTATAAAATATATTTACCTGTAAATACTTTGAGCCTTCTGAAATTTTTTCCCATTTTACAAAAATCGCGCAAGTCTACAAAAAATATCTTACCTGTATAAATGCAACCAGAAAGAGACAAAATCAAGCAGACCACCGGCTGGCTAAGTCTCACTGCGCTACATTTATACCCCCGTACATGGCCTGCATATTTGAGTATTTCTTCAAAATTTGCACTAATGACCTGTAATTTTGCTCCGAATTTAAATTAATATTATCCGTCCTTAAACCCTCTTTTTATCTTTAATTGCACTTTAAAATTCTTGTTGAACTTTTTGCATAATCTTGACTTTTTATTCCCTGTAAATAATTTATACACATGCATGACCTCTGCTCCCTTGCATCGGCTTCTTTGATTGGTTACACCCTCATTCTTGACCAAACCAGCATCTTATAACCATTAATCTACAAACAAATACTAAACTTCATGGAGCTAATTATCAGCGGTGAGAAGTTCATCCTGCACTCAGGCCCAGCATCTGTTTTCTTCTAATTTTATCCTGCGCGATCGGCTAAACCTTAATACATTTGCTACTTCACCCCCGAGATTCACAAATTCCACATTTTTTTTTTTATTTTCATGCAAATTTTATGATAGACCTCTGATAAAGAAAGCAGAATGTTGGAACTAGACTTATTACAAAACTACAGACCCGTTTCTTTCTAAAGTTCTTAAGAGCAGTTGCTGTTCACATAAGTCAAATGTATATGTACAATCCTATCAATAATTAAATGATGAAGGAAAGTCGGCAAACTGCCCCTGTCACTCAACAGAGATGGCACTGTCACGATTTAATCATGACATTACACAGCCTTGGACTGTTACAGTAATATCTGTGTTGTGTTGCTGAATCTCTCCGCAATTTGATGTGATTGACCATCCGATTCTTCTAAGGTGTCTTGATTTTCCATTTACATGTAGCATTAAAAACTGGTGCAACACTTGCATGATAAGATCTTATGTTTACTGACTATAGACGATAACTTTAACCTGGAACGCCGACGCCTAGGGTATTACTTACATAAGCTCCTCCAGGTGAGGTGAGCTAAAAAATATATAATGTGCTATGTAATTATTACTGTCAAATACGTGTTAAAAAAATTATGCACTGTTGCTATGCGTCTGGATGAAGACCCAGGAAGCTCCTGGGTTTCACCAAATATTCCAGTCATTCTCCTGCAAAAAATCATGCTTCCTCGGTTTTCTTTAGAAAATAAGACTTTTGCATTAAAACTTCCATGGACACTTACTGTAGGTGTAGTTATATATACATGTAGCTGAGGATGAATATTTTACTGATACTTTGGTATCGTCTTCTCTACTTTTAACGTGATCAGAAGGTCGTGTGTTTGAATCACGGCCGCGACTGATCGAAGTCAATAAAAAATAGTTAGCATCTGTTCCTTCGCCGAACGTTCGCCACTTTAAAGTGAAAGTTGCGGGTCCTTCGGATGAGACCTTAAAAACCGAGGCCCGGTGTCACGGTAGGCGTTGGTACGATAAAGAGCCCTCACTGCTCAATGGCCCTGAGTGCCGAGTAAAGGTCAAAATTTTATTAGCCCTTCACCGGTATATGGTGACGTCTATATACGAGTGAAACATTCTCGAACGGGACATAAAAAAAACATACAGTCGATCAATCTCTACTTTTAATGTTCAGAAAAAATTAAGTTTAAGAAGTGTTATTAACAAAAAGATCATAGCATTCAACGACGTGAAAAAATTCTCAGATTTAAAAAAAAAAAATTCTCAGCATGTCACAGAACAATAACTTCTTAATGAATGAACCACTTTGGTTCGGTAACTATTTAATAAAAGATATTATTATATAAACATGATAATATGGAATTTGAATCGAAAAATATGACACAAAATAAAATTGAAACACAAATGTTTGCTGGATTAAGCCTAATTTTCTTTCTCTCTCTTTTGAGAATAATATGCAAGCTCTTGCTTATAGGCAGCTACGCTCCTGGATTTTCATTGGGGTTTAATTATCATGCATGGACTTTATACGTAACCCTTACCAACAAATCTACAAGGTGATGCCATAATTTTTTTTCATAAAGACGAGTTTACTTACAATATCACATACCAATTTTCAGCAATTTTAAACCAGAAGTTCTTGACGAGACTGTAGCTCTACTGGTTTGTACTTTTAACAAAGGTAGGAGGAGTAGCCCTCTGAAAGAATTTTACAGAAATTTCCATTTTGATAATCATGGTAACATTGTACATTAAAGTCAAAATGATAAAGACAATTAAGTATATCAGTGTAGTCTACTTGTGTGTCAAGCTAAATATATTGAAATCAGACCAAAACTGAAGAAGCATTTTGAAAGTATTTCACATAAATTTCTATTTTTAGTAACCATGGCAACATCGTTAATCGAAATCAAAAGCCGATAAACAGAATTATCTATCTCATTGTAGTCTATTTGTTTGCTAAGTAATATTAAAATCAGACCAAACTGTAGGAGAAATAGTGTTCTGAAAGTATTTCATAGAAATTTCTATTTTTAGTAACCAAGGCAACACTATTCATCATATCAAAAACCAATGTACAGAATACAGAATTATGTATCTTTGTTTAGTCTACTTGTGTGCCAATTTATATTGAAATCAAACCACAACTATAGGAGGAGTATTGTTTTGAACGTATTTCACAGACGTTATACTGAAATCAGACCAAAACATTAGGAGTAGCATTTTGAAAAAATTGTTTACTGACAGACAGAAGATAGCTAGCCAGATGAACAATGGACACCTTCCTATAGCATAAGCACATCTGGTCTCTGACCAGTCGAGCTAAAAATGGCACGCCTGAATGAAAATGATTTCAAAGTGTGTGGGATTAACAACAGACACTTGGTTTAATGTTAATATAATTTACCTTCATTGTGTAAAACATGGTCTTTATTCAAAGAACTTAAATATTCTACATATTTTACATTGTAAATAAAGCAAATGCATAGTAAAATCATGCAGTGATGCATTGACCAACTCACACAAAAATATTTTAATAGCAAGTGTTTCGTTTTGTGAATACCTTGCAGATAAACACATTCACAAAATAAATCTTCAATGGCCTTGTACATGGACAAGGTGAATACATGTTACTGCATCATTATCAAGCATCATGCTTCTTGATGCAGGAACAAAGTTTAGAACGCCGTGGAGGATTTTTCCTTTTGTCAGTTTTAGTGTCTTTTGGATCCTCTCCCAAATCATCAGTTTTATCAGTTCTGTCACAGTTTTTTTCCTTCCCCTTCAAGTCTCTACCTATTGTTTTTGACATTTCAGCCAATCTGTTTTTAGATCTCCAAACCTTCAGGAGTTTATCATCTCCTGCAGTGACTAATGTTTCCTGATCAAGGGGATGAAATGTCACAGCATTCAGTCCATATGACCGTCCACCAGAGTCTTGGTGAATGATGTTGGACTGTATCTCTGTTCCATAATGATGGTCCCATAAATGTCCTTGAACTGTCTCATCACCTCTGGAAAACAAGACAATATGTGCAAATCTGAATTTTTCCGGTTAAAAATATTAAAGAGTGCAGAATTATATTTCAACAGCTTTGAATTTCCCCCCATTAAATCAAAATATCATATTAAAAAAAATAAATTCTTCCCTTGCATCAACAACCACTTGTTTGTCCTTAACAAGACATCAAATTATAACTGCTCAAACGAAAGCAATCACAGATATTAAAAATGAAGAGAGCATAAATTCTTTAGTGAAGGATTTTATAGTTACTGTTAGATAAGTACTTGAGCATAGTAAAAGTATACATACATAGCCACAAAATCTTCACTAAGATCTGGAAAGATGTAACTAAGGTGGTCATCAGAAGAGCAGGTACCCCCCACAAACACTGTGTTCCAACACTGGTCTAGAATAAGGTCATATACAACTATCAAAATCTCCAGCTCATACCCCCAGAAATGTTCCATCTCCTTCAAATTACGAAAGCTGTACACTATGTACCTAAAACAGGTAAAAAGCGACAGTTAAACACGAGATACAATAGAGGTAAATACTGACAGTTGTACATTAAGTATATCTCCTGCTGACCTAAATTCAGGTATATTAAAGCAATCTTTTTTTTTAACTGAAGCTTCAAATGTCTTTTAACCAAAATGTCAATATCAACTCTTAGATGATATGCAATCTTAGTGTCAAAATTTCCTCAGTAAAAATTTATGGTCTTGTCATGTTTACATGGGCAGACAGATGGACAAGGTGACATCCTTAGTAAAAGCAAATGTTAGCTGTCAATAGCCACAAGCAGTGCATTGTGGGCAAAGCCTTCATTAAAGCTTTGTATAGATATAAGTTTGAATACAGGTACAAGATTTGGGTTTCCCTTTCTCAGAACTATTTCACCGGGATTTGCCTCAGGAAACAGATCTGATCTCAAGGATTCCTAACTCCCACCAGGGGCTGACAAATAGATTTTTTAGGCACTTGTCCAAGGGCAAGTGCACGGTCAAAATTCACTTGCCCTACCAAAATATTTGCTTGCCCCACTATAAATTACCATATTTATACATATTTCAAAATAATGGAAGACAAACACTGAGTAGATCATGCAAGCCTCTGTGCCAAGCTTTAAATCTATGACTTACATGTGATTTTTTTTTTTTCAAGTGCTTTGCCCACGGCAAATGGTTGATAAAATTTCACTTGCCTACCCTTAAAATTCACTAGCCCCGGGTGCTGGGCAATGGGATTTGTCAGCTCCTGTCCCACTATGATATACTTAACTATACAATATAAATATACCTATGATCTAAGCTCATTCTCAGACCCAGGATCCCTGCATCCATTTTCAGTTTTTTAAAGGGTTTCACAGAGGTCACCTCACCTTCCTTTACAGCATAGAAAGCAACAGTACACTTATCCTCATCACGACGTGAGCAGTGTACAAGTTGGATTATCTTTTCTCCCTTCACCTGTATCTCCCTCAGAACTTCAGAATAAGGTCTACAATCATCCTCTTTTGTCATCTGATATTTAATGTTTTCTTTCTGACTCTGTGAATATTTAGCCATTCCTCTGGCATCCTGAACCATCTGGTAATAGAGTGCAAAATCATCCACATTGTCAGATTCAGAATCAGAGTTATACAGGTCATCTTCCATGCTATCATCACTACTTAAATCTTCATCCCTGGAATAATTATTTCTGGGTTTAAGTTCAGATTCCTTCTCATCATCTAATAATTCATCACCATCTACTTCAATATCCGATATATTGTCCCCACTATTGGCTGGTTCCCAGTTTGTTTGGTCTTTCAAACTGCCGGAATAACCTGGCTTGACATCTTCATTGTATTCATTTGTGAAGTCATAATATTGGCTTAAATCTCCCCACTTCGAGGGGTCCATTACTCGGATGAAGTCGTTCCTTGAACTATAATTATGTGTCACAAGAACATCCTTTGCTTTACTTTGGCACTTCACAAACAGATCTTCTATTCTCTTGCCTTTCTTTTTTACTGTTGGATTGACCTAAAATTAACAAATAAATAAACTCACAGAAAATAAGTTTGTGAAGAGCAGTATTCCTCCATCGGCTGCAAATGCTAGCAGTGGCAAAAACTTGTAGTGAACTTTGACCTCTTTGAAAGGCCTTGACCTAAAATCTTCGAAAAGATGAACATCTTAACAAATACACAGAATGAGGGCACTTTTGATTGGCATTCGGCAGGAATCTTGGTGCACTTGAAAAGCTAAAAATTCCTTGATCTGTCATATGAAACTAGCATTCTTTTGATGTACTGGGTTCCTGTGAAATAGGAAAGAGAAATATTTTCCCAATATTGTATTTTGATTTGCTAAAAAAGAACTTGAAAATTGGCTAGATGAGTCATTTAGTACAAATTGTTACATTTTTAAACACATTTTTCTAAAAATTTGCTATCTTTGGGTCATCTCTCCATGATTTTGAAACATTATTTGAGTACATTTTCATTCAAAGAAATGAACATCATGAACATTAGTAAACAAGAGGCCCAAGGGCCTTAACAGTCACCTGAGTACAACAATTTAGAGGATCCATAAACTGATAAATGAAGCTTTGTTGCAAAAAAGCAAGAAAAATAGTATGATTAAGATCAACAAAATAATTGTTCTAGTATCTATATATCTGTCCCCCATTTATCACTATTACTATGCAGACTTTTAACAAAATGTCTATTATCTCTCACATTGACCTCACTTGGCCTTTGAAGAACATTTAAAAAGATAAGTTATTTTTGTTTCATTTTTATTCATGTATTATTTCCAAGTCTACCTGATTTAGACTAAGAAAGTACTTTTTCTATTATACCATAAATGTTCTTGCATAATTCTCTTATTCTATTAACCTTTCAAATACATTATCTACAGTGATTAATTATCAAAGGTGAATGGCAAAGGGGAATAACTTCACTCAGTAGAATACAAATTAATAGAGCCCTGGCTAGGACCAGAACACTTGACTAAATGGTCCAGATGTTCAAAATTCTGGTAAAAATATCCTTGCTTATTAAAACTTTTACTCTGTTTGTCTCCAATATGCCCAGGAGCAGAGAAGATCTTCAAAGAAATAATGTGTTTTCACTATTTAACACAGACCTACCCTAACACCAGAACCCATGACCCAGGGTCATGAAATTTACAAATTTGGAAGAGGGACCCTCATCATCATAACTATGCAATTACATGTAGTTGAAGATTTTCAGAGAATTCACCCATTTTCACTTTATTATCAATAAAGCTCCCTCCCCCCTCACACACACAACAGAACCCCTAAGACCACAAGTTTTAAAAAATTTTTAAAAGCATCCTTGCTCATCATAACTATACACTTGTTTCTTTGCTTTATAACCAGTAGCAGAAAAAATATTTTGAAAGAAATTATGAATTTTCACTATATAATCAATAGAGTCCCCCACTCCCTTTCACCAGAACCCCTGACCCTGGGGACAGGAATTTCACAATTTTGGAAGAGCTATTCTTGCTTATCATAACCATGCACTTCCTTTGTTTAAATAATACCCAGGAGGAGAGAAGAAGATTTTCAAAGAATTGATGCATTTTCACTATATAATCAATAGAGCCCCACCCTAACACCAGAACCCCTGATCAAGGGGGCCATGAAATTCACAATTTCTGAAGAGGCACTCTTGCTCATCATAACTATGTACTTAGTTAGTTTATTTAATACTCAGGAGCAAAGAAGAAGATTTTCAAAGAAAAAATGCATTTTCACTATATAATCAATAGGACCCCACCCTAACACCAGACCCCTGACCCAGGGGCCATGAAATTCACAATTTTGGAAGAGGCAGCCATGCTCATCATAACTATGTACTTAGTTAGTTTATTTAATACCCAGGAGCAGAGAAGAAGATTTTCAAAGATTTCATGCATTTTCACTATATAATCAATAGAGCCCGCCCTAACACCAGAACCCCTGGCCCTGGGGCCATGAAATTCACAATTTCTGAAGATGCACTCTTGCTCATCATAACTAAGTACTTAGTTAGTTTATTTATACCCAGGAGCAGAGAAGAAGATTTTCAAAGAATTAATAAATGCATTTTCACTATATAATCAATAGAGCCCTACCCTAACACCAGAACCCCTGACCCTGGGGCCATGAAATTCACAATTTTGGAAGAGACAGCCATGCTCATCATAACTATTTACTTAGTTTATTTAATACCCAGGAGCAGAGAAGAAGATTTTCAAAGAATTAATGCATTTTCACTAAATAATCAATAGAGCCCCACCCTAGCACCAGAACCCCTGACCCAGGGGCCATGAAATTCACAATTTTGGAAGAGGCAGTCTTGCTTACAGTCCCTGAAACGTTCTACTTTCCCACTTGAACAGTGAGCGAACGCTGAACGAACGCAGAGCGAACGGTGAGTGAACGATGTGTGAACGCTGAACGCAACTTGGTGAACGATGTGTGAACGGTGAACGGTGAGTGAACGCTGAACGCGAACGGAGCGCAAACGTGAACGCAAAGTGAACGCTGAACGAAAGGTGAACGCAAGATGAACGATATATTCGGAATGCTTCTGATCTTTTCCTTGCATTGAAACTATTTTTTGTTTTATATTTTCAGGTGCCAAATAAATAAATAAATAATAGATAAGTAAACCAATAAATGAATGAATATTTAAGTCAATAAAATAAATTCTCCAAAATTGTCCTAAGAAAGACGATGCATGCACATAAAGATTTTAATCACACGATTTTTATCGCATTAAAACATTGCAATTGTTATCGAACGCTGAAGTGTAAAAGATATTTTTTTTTTTAGTTCGAAAATAAAAATGTTTATTCTTATTTGATAACAAATCAGAGAAAACTTCTGACTTATAGAATGAATTAAAGCGGTTGTAACATCCATTCACATATCTCCGTGTCAAGGCGATTTCGTGTAAATTAATGAAAAAAAAATTAATTACAAAGGTCAGTGGACGTTTTGCATTTATACGCTCGTATTTTAAATTTTTAATACAATAATATATTATGTGTCATTTCTATTTTTCATGATGATTTATTGAGCAGACTTCTACATGTATATGTAGATGGCCGTGGTTATACTCGGACAAGATAATACAAAGATACATATTCATATTATTTGTTATAAATTCAATTTTCAGAACTTGATATTTAAGTAATATGCTGTTATAGTTTTTATTAAGCAAATGAGAGAGAGAGAGAGAGAGAGAGAGAGAGAGAGAGAGAGAAATATTCCGTTTTAGCCCCCCCCCCCCTCCTTTCAGGCTTCATTAAATGTTTGTACCTATATCAAACAAAAACTCTGATTTTTTTTTTTCTAAATATGTCATACAGTGAAAGTAACTTTTTAAATCAACAAATCATATCCATTTGTTTGACAGTCATACTCGTTTTTATGTTCCTGCTTCGATTTCACACGAAGTCCACGTGTTTGTCCTGTCAATCAAAATCATTCGACACTGTGCAGGTGTGAAAGTTTTGTCACATCGAAGACGAAGTGCGAGTATTTCCAACAAGGTTTAACATATATTTTTATCATTTCTAGACTTGATTCCAACATTTGAATAATAAATGAATAAAATACATTGGGCATTAACACTTGAATTTGATACATACTCTCTGCCAATTTCAAATACCACCGCCGACACGTGTACATTTTGAACTACTATTGTTTTGTGACTTTTTTAGATGCATGTTTGTTTTGAGACTGAAATTTTTGTTCTAAAAAAGACCTTAACTTTCTTTAAAAAATGTTAATTAAAATATCCTGGAAATGCAGTACTGACTAAGTAACCGATTTAGGGGGAAAGGGGGGGATTAATCATATCGAATGGCAAACATATAAAGTTACGGTGAAGAGAGAATTTCTTTCTCTATAACTATAGACTTTACATATTATAGTAGAGAAAATTCTGTAGTGCAGTACATTTTAAATAAATATTTCCTTTAACCACACTATCAATTTAATTCGCTCCAAAGATAATAAATTAACAGGATATCCGAAGTACTATGTATAACTCTCAGAACTAGTTCTACATGTATGATATTTTCTGTAGTAATTAAAAAAAAACGTGTTAGAAATGAATATTTTCGTAATTTTGCTGTGTAATTATTTGACTTGGATAATTATATCACCATTAACGATTTGTCGTCTTTAACAAAACAACAAAATGTTGCAGTGCTTGAAGTATTTGCACATTGCGCTTAGTTAAATTTAATATTTCAGCATCGTTCTACATAGGTACAGAATGTGCTTATAACAACATTTGTTTTCCAGTAATTTAATAAATAAATAAATAATATTCTTATAATAAATAAATTCTTCAAACATTAGTTATTGAATTAAAAAACCTGTAACTCCTTCCCTACAAAAAGATAAGTCCTTTCACTTCGGAGTTCCGAATGACAATGAAAACTGAACGATAGGTGAACGGTGAACGCAAGGTGAACACAAAGTGAACGGAACGAAGAGCGAACGCTGAACGCTTTCTGAACGGTGAACGCGAGCGCACGGTGAACGGTGAACGGAGAGCGAACGGTGAACGAACGGTGAGCGAACGGAAAAATGGGAAAGTAGAACGTTTCAGGGACTGCTTAAAGGACTTATCGCATGTTTCTAAATTATTTGAAATTAAAAGCGTAAAACGTTCCTTATGACCACAGTTTATAAATTTTGTGTTTTTACTGCGGATAAACGGCGGTAATTAACCAATTATTGACTCAAATGAAAACCCGTGAATTAAAAATCTAAGTTAATTAGATAGCGATCACGTGACCCTGTGACGTCAAAGGCGACAATGGCTGATCAGTTCTTCACGTAAATCTTACTAAAATATACGCGATACAACCTGAATTTTCTGCATTATGGACGACGAAATCACTGATTTTATCGATATGAAATTTAATGTCCAACCTTATATTTTAGAATTGTCAGCAAGAAATAATCTGAAAAATCCGTTAACATTGTAAAAATAGCAGCGACGATAGCGAGGGAGACGCGGCGAAGACGAAGAAACTCGCCATCACAATACAATTTGATTTGTCATTTTATCACATGTATTAACTTATTTGATTCACAAATTTAATATTACATAACTCTGTTATTCTTCTTTTTTAACATAATATTAATTTTTGCAAGTATGCTTTCATATGTTTTGTAAAGGATGGCGGTCTTGAAAAATAATTTTCCGATCACGAAACATTGCCGTAATCAGACCTACAGATTCTAAATGTTTGGAATAAAAAACGAAAATATCTCAAAATTCTTGTACCTTTGAACTAGTTAGTGTTTCTATAGTAATTGAAAATCACGTTAGGAATTAATTTTTTCAGCATTTTTCATAATTAAGCTGCATTTGTCGTTGATAACTTCGTAAATAGTGTCCAACTTCTTATCTCTCTATCACTGAATTGTCGCCTATGACGTCAGAGCAGTATTTCGCCGAAATCCGACAAAAATATGCATATTGCCGTATTTGAATTTCAACTCTCAATATCTCTTGAATATGCTTTCAACAACGTTTATTGTATTCAGAATTTTAATAAACAAGGTTGTAGATAATATTTTTCATAAAATTAAGATTTTTAAAAAATCATGCGATAAGTCCTTTAACTGTGATAACTATGTACTTGTTAGTTTATCTAATACCCAGGAGCAGAGAAGAAGATTTTCAAGGAAATAATGCACTTTCACTATATGATCTATATAGCCCCACCCTAGCACCAGACCCCTGACCCTGGCGCTACGAATTTCACAATTTTGATAGAGGGCTCAATGCTTATTACAATCATGCCAACAGTGTAACAGCTTGATGTCCAGGAGTAAAGAAGATTTTTAAAGATTGCATTAATTTTGGTGGTTTTAGCCCCCCACCCCCCAGGCCCCAGGGGGGCAAGGACCATAATTTCTGTCCCCCTTCACCCATAGATGCTATATGCCAAAATTGGTTGAAATTGGTTGAGCGTTTCAGAGAAGAAGCTGAAAATGTTTAAATGTTTACGCACAACACACGACGACAGACAAAAACGGATAGCAATAGGTCACCTGAGTGACTCAGGTGACCTAAAAATGGAGAAAAGACCCAGAGACAATAAAAAATAGAACTTTCTCAAAAAATTCCAATTTGTAAATGCGGTGCTTCATTGTCGTTTTAAAACTCATGTAGTGTATGTAGCGATGATAGCTCAGTAGTATGCGTTACCTGTCCAGTGCAATGAATAAGAAAAATTTTTGGTTCCATCCTCACATGGAGTGTTAATATTTTGTTTTAGTACAAACAATCAACTTTTTGGTCAGTTTAATTTTATGTACTGATTTTTTTTAAAAATTGATAAATTTTTGTTCTGTTGCACCGAGAGCGAAAGTAATTCAATACTGTAGACCAACTATTATCTGTGTCATCTTTTATTCGCGATTTGTAATGTTCACTGCGATTAATATTATCAATACAGAAGGTTGCGAAACTCGCGGATATTTCTCGCACGCAAATAAAAGTTGGTTTACAGTACTTTAATATACACATGTACTTGTAATTGCATCTAACTATACTCTATCATCCAATAGGTGTTTATTATTTATGTGAAGTGTTACTAAGTTGTACATGTAGTAATTATTAAGATAAGTGGACTTAAGTATAAATTTGACAAAGTATTCCAAATTTAATGTAACATTTTCCTATGCGGGTAACTTTGTTAAGTCATGTCCAGCTGTGGTCAACCTAGGAAATCGTGGACATTCATACTATAAATGTTTAGTACACATTATTCCTGCACCAAATACACATGCCAAATGGCACACGCCATACCAAACGGCACACTCCAAATATGCCCATCTTCTTTTATCTCATGAATTAAAAAAAATGAATGGTAAAGATTGAAAGTTGTAGACAGACATATGGAAAGTCAAAAAGAGAGACAGAAAGGCCAAGAACAAATTACCCTCAGGCTTTAATCTCCATGACATTAGAATCTCATACTAAACAATCTGAAAAGATCTCTGGAATATATTTCCTTTGGCATACTTTGACCAGAAGTCCAGGAGATGTTAACAATGGAGGTTTCAACTATCATGGCTTACTAAAGGTCAAGGCTACGTACCTCATGAGCCTCTAGTTTGATGTAGTTGTTTTGACTATAGAAACGATGGGCAATCAAAAAATGTGTGTCATTCAGCCAAGCACCCCTGAAATTTGGAAACTCTCCTTTCACTGCATACAACAAACTGAGATCTGCAATGATGATTTGTGATTACTTGGACATAATAATCAATTCATCTATGTTCATAAGGTCATAATTCTCAATAACAAATTTTTTATTGGTAAAACTAAAAAAAATTAATGAATGACAATTTAAAACCAAAGTTGCATTGTTAAACACTTAACATACCTGGGATGGAAACAACAGCAGCAAAAATACTTCCCTCAAGGTCATAGATATGTGTCAGTCCTGTGATCAATAACATCGTCTCTGACTCATTAAACTCACAAAAGCGAGTTTTAGGTGGGGGGTTGAAGAATGGGCCAACTGTATTTTGTAAGGTTACTTTACTACCATAATTCCACAGCTAAAATTCAAAAGAAAAATAAAACAATTCTGATTTTCAATGATGACATGGAGTACTCGTAATAGTAATCATGAATCAGCTGTAATCGATTACATTTTTCATGTAATCATTAATTGGCGAAAATCCTGATGAAAGTTTAAACATTATTGCAAAAATTTGTCCACAATAAAAAAAAATTCTTAAGCAGCCTCCAAATAGAATAGAATCATGCATTAAGTATATATTTCACTGCTGGTAATTCACTGCCTCTTGCTACTGCTCAGTAAAAAGCCTAATTTCAAGAAATTTTGTGAATTGGTTAATTATTTTTTCTAGATAATATTTATGTTTAACTAAACAAGATGTTATCGTTTTAATATTATACATTTATTGCATGATCGTGAGGGAAATATGTAGATTTATTCAGCCAAGAAAAATCATATTACCCAAGAGCTTCGCCCAAGAGGAATATGATTTTTCTTGGCTGAATAAATCTTCATATTTCCCTCACAATCATACAATAAATTGTTTATTATACAAAAACAAGCAAAGCTTTTAAAAATAAACACAAACTTTCAAATTCGACATTGCTCTTAAATTCACTTTCAGTTTTAAAGTAAAGAACACAGAAACACTTTGACAATTCATACTCTGATTTTTTTTAAGAATCATTATTAAAAAGACAGCCAATGGCTTTAGAGATGAAACATTCAGCACTATATTATTGTAAATTTTGTGACGTATATCAGCACTATATTATTGTAAATTTTGTGACGTTTACTGCTCTCGGGAGTTTTCGTTCAATGAACGATAAATATTGCGGGAACCTTCGAAGAGGTTGAATATGATGAAAAGCATGACAACGACAGGGAAATATAAAGTTTTATGTCCCTGACAGTGAGTCATGACAATCTAGAACCAACCAGATAATGCAATATTGTATAGAATACTTATAATGGTGTATAATAATAAAAGGGATCACTTTACCCAGCCACTGTCTGTCTGTCTGTTTGTATGTCCGTCTTATATCTTGAGAACTGTAAGAGGTATGGATTTGATATTTTGCACATATATTGCTTCGCACTATGGCTTGTGTAAATAACCATGGTTACCAACCTCGTGACCCTTGACCTTTGACATACTTTTCAAAATTAAGTTCGTAGTGCCAATATACAGCATATTTTTGACATTTAAGAGGTAAAGTCTATGCTATTTAGCATGTGTACACTGTTTATCATAAAACATTATGAAAATATCAGTGTTACAATCCACTTGACCTTGACCATTGACTTACTTTGCAAAAAATACCCAGGACATTTTAATTTAACTTACATGTATGTCTTTTGAATTTTGAGAGGCAAAGTTTTTGATAATTAGCAGTTATACATGTTCATGAGCTCAAGATACTGTACTTTGAAACAGTATGATATTCAGTTACCAAACAAACTTTTTATTTAAATATTATGAAAATACATTGGGATTGGTATTCCACTACGGATCGCATATGTAGACAGTAAAGACAGACTGAAATCTTGGAGGATTGTGGGCAACATGTATTAATAAAATGATAAATAATTGTATGTAGGAAACGTATCAAGAGTGTTCCAAGGAACGCATGTGTCACCTGCTTTGTTGCTTCATTAAAGAAAGAAATAAATCTAAGAGTGGTCAGCTTTTTATCTACTGTTGGGCATTTTCGGGTGGGTGAACTTCTACAGCTATTAGCGACTATGGATAAAAAAGTGTGGAAACCATGATGTGCAAAAACAAGAGTGTTCCAAGGAATGCATGTGTCGCCTGCTTTGTAATGAGAGTTTGAGAAAAATCGGTAACTATATAATGAGCACACTTTATGGAACCTTTTTCTCCCTTATAAAAATTCTTCAAAACTACACCTGTACATTATTACTGCGTGGAACAGTCACCAACCAATATTTCCAGGTACATAGCACAACTTGACATCATAAAAGGTGTTACAGGGTAACTAAAATATTAGAGATTCAAAAACAGAATCAATGTTCGTGAGTGATGAAACATTATAGCGGTAATGGGAGAACATGAGAATCACACTTTTTTTCCCTTTACATAGTATTTAAATTATACCAAAATTGAAGGATTAAAATTTGTTCAGTGGTTTCTGAAAAACAGACTGAAAATGTTCAAAAGTTAACAGACAATGCGCAACCATGCAGACATTAATCCTAAAATGGTGGATAAAAGTGGACAAAAGACGACTGTGCACATATACCATCGAATGGAGAAAAAAAGAAGTCTTTTGTGATTTTCTCCCTAAAACTCTAGTTCAAGAAAATTAGGCTGTATCAGGAGCAAAGTCTACTTGAAATTTACACATGATGCATATATTCTTCTTAAGTAGATGATAAGAAAGACAGGAAAATAAACAGGAAGAAGACTGGTGATAACTATAAAAACAAGGAGATACATGTACCAGGAAAACCTAATGGCAGAAAAAGGAAATGTTTAAAAAAATTATAAATTTTCATGGCCATGTGTAAAAACATCATGTGCACAAATCACAGCACCTCCTGGAAGTGGAAGAAGAAAGAAAATTTTACGGATGAGACTGTAAAAATTTGCTTCAATGGTATACAATGAGCGCAGTTTTCAGATAAACATCTTATTCAAGATGTTCAAATTATCTGGAGAACAGCACAGTATGAATTAGAAATCTTTCTGAATTGAGAAATAATTGTAAAATTCTCAGCAAGACATCCATATCAACAGAATATTACATAATGTTGATTTCACCAAAGCACAACACAATAGAAATAAACCTACAGCAAGACTACATATTAATTGGCAATTCATGCCAGTTTCTTGAACAATTGAAAATTCATCTAAATGCAATTTTTCCACTTTGATTACAGTGCATATATTTAAGTACATTAAGATTCAATCTTCTCTTTTGGAAATATTTTTTTATGTCTCAGTATACAAAAGTAGTGTTAATTCACCAAAAAATGCTTTTTTTTTGTTTGTTTGTATGGATCAATTATACATTTTATTTTTATTTATTTATTAAATTATTACATTGATAGAAGAGCCAATAAAACAGTTGTGCTTCTGATGAGTATAGCTGCATGCATGCAGTTGGATTTTTATGAGAAATAAAGGAGAATTTTTTAGTACGTATACCCGGTAAATATTTATTATAGTAAACAAACTTTACCACAAAAATTTCTAAAATATAAAAAAAATTAATAAGCTCCCATTTCCTTGTTTGATTTGATTCTTTTCCAACTCACTGTGTGTGTGTTTGGTATAGAAAACACACAATTTATTGGATAAAAATTGTAACCAATCACAACGGTAGGAGATATATTTATAGCCCTTTATTTAAAGCACTATTTCCCAAAAAATCTAGTTATTAAATCAGCTGCACTTTTTACAATTAGGAAGGTAGTCCAAAATGTTTCCAAGAAAAGATAACATTGATTTTAAATGTTTTTTTTGTAAATTTATAAAAAAAACAAACTAGAAAAGTCCATAGGACATGAATGCCCCGCCGAGGGTATATTAGTAATGCAACATGAAAATTTGTACTAGTGTATGAAATTTGATGAGAATATCTTGAATAGTTTCTTTTAAAATTGAAATTGAAATCTAAAAAGTTTGACATAGATGATAAATTCTCACCAAATTATGTATAAGTGCATAAGCTTACATAAATATATCTTAAATGGCTTCTTTAAAATTAAGCAAAATGCAAATTTAAGAAAAGTGAGGTCAAGGTCCCAAAAAAGTTCAAGGTCAAACATTTTTTTGATGCAGTTGAATAGTTCTCATAAATACGTATCAGCATATTAAGTTTGATAAAAATATTTTGAATGGTTTATTTAAAACTGAGCTAAACACTAATTTAAAATAAATGAAGTTAAGGTCAAAGGAAAGATCAAGGTCAAAAAATGTTGATGCAGTTGAAAAGGTTACATCAGAATGTATTAGCATATGAAGTTTGATAAAAATATTATGAATGGTTTCTTTAAAACTGAGCTAAACACTAATTTAAGAAAAGTGAGGTCAAGGTCAAAGGAAAGGTCAAGGTAAAAAAATACTGATGCAGCTGAATAGCTCTCATCAGTATGTATCAGCATATGAAGTTTGACACTAATTTAAGAAAAGTGAGGTCAAGGGAAAGATCAAGGTCAAAAAATGTTGATGCAGTCGAATAGCTCTCATCAGTATGTATCAGCATATGAAGTTTGGTAACACTATCTTGAATGGTATCTTTAAAACTGAGCTAAAAACTTATTTCAGAAAAGTGAGGTCAAGGTCAAAGGAAAGGTCAAGGTAAAAAATATTGATGCAGTTGAATAGCTCTCATCAGTATGTATCAGCATATGAAGTTTGTTAAAAATATCTTGAATAGTTTCATTTAAACTGAGCTAAACACTAATTTAAGAAAAGTGAGGTCAAGGTCAAAAGAAAGGTCAAGGTCAAACAAGAGGCCCATGGGCCACATCGCTCACCTGAGAAACTTTGGCCATGCTGTTCTTTACCAGATTTCCCCCTTTTAATATACCTATTGTGGCCCCGCCCTACCCCTGGGGGTCATGATTTGAACAATTTAGAATCTACACTACCTCAGGATGTTTCCAAATAGTTTCAGCTTTATTGGTCCAGTGGTTCTTGAAAAGAAGATTTTTAAAGATTTTTTAATATATTTCAATGTAAAACTTGGATTCCCTATTGTGGCCCCGCCCTACCCCCGGGGGTCATGATTTGAACAATTTATAATGTACACTACCCCAGGATGCTTCCATATAAGTTTCAGCTTTTCTGGCCCAGTGGTTCTTGAGAAGAAGATTTTTAAAGATTTTTCTTATGTATTTCAATGTAAAACTTGGATTCCCTATTATGGCCCCGCCCTACCCCCGGGGGTCATGATCTGAACAATTTAGAATTAACACTACCCCAGGATGCTTCCATATAAGTTTCAGCTTTTCTGGCCCAGTGGTTCTTGAGAAGAAGATTTTTTAAAGATTTTTCCTATATATTTC